TATATATACATTATAAGTAAAAGGAAAGTTTAACAGTATGAAAATAGAAAACATTGTCCAACCACCAGTGACTTACATACAAGTTAGACATATGTCTTAATCAAGATCAAGACAGTTCAGTCTACGTTATAATTATTGGAAAATAATCACCTCAACCGCCCATAAATTAAATTACTTTGTTCTACCCCATAGGGCTCGATAACTGGGAAGACAACTGTCCGTACATTGCCAATGCCAACCAGATCGATACAGATGATGACGGTTATGGAGATCTTTGCGATAACTGTCCGTTTGATGCAAATCCGGAACAGGTAAATACTGATAATAATAAATAAAAACAATTTTTGGGAAACTATTATAGTCAATTTTTTATGGAAGGTCTTGACCTCACCAGTGTACACAATTGGCTCATGAGTTCTATAAAGAACAAGTAGGGGTTAACCTGGTGTACTTGTGCATAGAGCCCGGCCCTGTTGTGGACAGACTTACGAGTAACTAGCACAGGTTTACCGGGTAGGTCAGACACCTTTTAGGAGAGGAGGAAGTTACTGCAAGAGCTGTTCCAGGTTTTGAGCGCTTATGATTGGTATAGAGCGCTATATAGGTTCAACTACATTACATTACATAAAATTGATGTTTGTGCTGGGGTTTTCAGACCGATAGTGATGTTGATACTGTGGGCGATCTTTGTGACACGAACTTTGATCGAGATGATGATGGAGTACAAGATGATCTGGATAATTGTCCGGATACACCAAACGCAAGTCAGAGAGATCACGACAATGATGGATTTGGTAAGATACTTGAACTTCTTGACAAGCAATGCAAGTACAGCAATCTCAGTAAATTTTTCACAGCAATTTAACAAGGGGATATTTTAAGGAAATTTCTATTGACAGTTCATCTAAATGTTAATGTCTAGGAATGTTGTCGAATGTAAATATAATTTTTTCCCTGAAACTCTTAGCTATAATAGACATTTTCCGTTAAGTTCCGCCCCTTGGACATTGTAGCTAAGGTCCCACAAAACGACAGTATAAAGACATAAGCAAACACGTGCGTTTGTGAGACAACACGTTTGTTTGTGAGACGCGCACGTATTCCCGGCCCTTCCTGGTCAATCGTTCAGTTTAATTGACACACCGGAAAGGTCCTTTGAATTCTCAGGATATAAGTTTATTCTCCTGAAATGCGGTAACAAAACAAATTAATCGATTTTATTATAAACCAAATTTTTACTTCATCTTTTCAGGTGACAGTTGTGATGATGACGATGATAATGATGGGCATTATGATATTGTTGATAACTGCCGACTTGTATACAATCCAACACAAAATGATACAAATGGTAAGTCGCTTGATAAATCATGAAAATATACCTTGGAGAATATATAAATGCAATATGTGATATGCTTACCATACTTACGTCTTCGTCGCTTAGCATTATTGATCTAATTACTATTCAGAAAACGGCCGTGGCGACCTTTGCGAGGAGGATTTCGACGGTGATGGTGTAGTTGACAGACTCGATGCTTGTCCAGAGAATGTCAACATCCAGCGAACGGATCTCTCGGCATTCGAAATGGTTCGACTGGATCCAGAGGGTTCAGTACAGAATGACCCATTCTGGATGGTACGTAACCACGGTAAAGAACTCGTACAGACTATCAACTCTGATCCTGGACTGGCAGTCGGTAAGTTGAACTGAAATACATTTTGACGTTTATGATAAATTATTATCTTCACTTCTTACTTAGACACCTTAGAATGTATACATTTGTAACAGGCATTTGAAGGGCTCACAACAATAATGATATGAACACGAGGATTGCCGCTTTATAACAGCATTATAAGACAGTATAAGACAAACCTCGAAGAATGTAATGCACGTCATAGTAATTCGAAATTTAAAACTTTATTTGTCACTCATTTTAATTAGTGCGCATAGTTATATATATACCGGTACATTTTTAAAAGTCTATTTCTTGGTTAAGGGTTCAGCATCGAATGTATATTACCTGACCGTGGTTAATCAATGCAGTGGCGTACAGTCTCTACAAGAGGAACTTCCTCCCCCTCCAAAAAAGGAGCTGTCCCCTCCCCCCAGGTGCTTAGCAAAAATATTACGTTTAAGTAGTTAATCATCACCTTGTTATTTTGTCAACTAAATCCACTCACTTAATTATTGAGTCTTCACTTTAACATTCGTTCCCCCACTCCCATGTCAATACCCCTGGGTACGCCATTGAATAAAGGTCTTCCCTCTTTGCAGGCTACGATGCTTTTGAGGGGGTACGATTTAGTGGAACATTCTATGTGAACATTCAAAGAGACGACGACTACGCAGGGTTTATCTTTGGCTACCAGTCTAGTCATCGATTCTACGTGGTTATGTGGAAACAGGTGAAACAACTTTACTGGCAGATGGAGCCATTTAAGGCTATTGCGACAACTGGTCTACAAATTAAGGTAAGCTAAGTAAGAATTAGTTCTAGCATAGCAAAATAATGAAGGTTAAACATGTTTACATTATTTCCCGCCTTTGCACATAGTTTATGTAGGTTGAACAGTTTCGTTGTTTATTATGCATATTTTATTATTATTTATTTGAGCTAGATAGAATGTTTATAAGTAGAATCGTTTAGAATGTTTTAACGTTTGTTAATGGTAATTATAAATTAATTTATCCATTACAATAAAGTGTTTTATCTGATTTATTATAAAATGGTTTCATTAAATGATCGTAATTAAAATTACAGAGAAAGGTAACATTGTAGGCCTAATACAACGTACAGCATACATCATAATAGGCCTATATGGAGGGAAATCAACCTTAGAAATGAAAGAAAACGATAGGCCGATATTAGTCTACTAGACGAAATGATTTACAGAATATTGGCACTTCGTGTGAAGGACGCAAATTGAAAGTACAGAGTGATGTTTGAAATTTAGTTCAGAACTCATAGTTAATTAGTTAGGACAATAAAGCCAAACTCTACTTCAAACCAGTCCAATAGCACGTTCGCACTAAATCCCTATGGGATGCCCAGCACATCCCTGGATTAATGGGTGCTTAGAACCGGTCGCATTAACACAATTTCTGTTGCGTTAACATAATACATTGGCATAAATACAATATCAAAAGCAAGAGTCCGTGTAATGGACGTTTCCGGTGTGTCAATCTAACTAAACAACTGACCAATCAGAACAGGGCTAGGAATACGCACTTTTCACACACACCCACCCACACAAGTGTTGTACCACCAAATGCCCGTGCTTACGTACGTTTACGCTGTCCTAGAAACAATATCCAAGAAGCAGGGTTTAGCAGGAGCTAAATCGGAAATCATTTATTAAAAATGTACACGTCTATTTTGAATAATTTATCTTATTGTAAAATATGAATCTAAGTGCATGTTCGCTCTTTTGCAAAAGGGCATTATGTGATCCTTCGATCGTATGGGTACGTGGGTGTTTGTGTATCATGACATGTTTCTATGTGTTTAACGCTGATTTTATAAAAAAAAAATATTCACACATTGTTTCAGAACCTCGGAATGTTAGTGCTTGTCACGTCATCAATTTTGATTGATGTTTTTAAGAACTAGTGAAGGCGTGCACACGTAAAACAGCACCCATGTCCTCCACCTAACTTCCGTTTTACAAGTTGTTTTCTGTCACGGACGCACTGACAGCGCTATTTAAACTAGGCCTATATTCCGAAATTAATTTGTGGCTGAGAACCAGTCAAACAAAATGTTTTAAGTAATATATTAAGTAATATATTGTAGTAGGCCTATAATTTAATCTTCTGGTTGAACAATCTCAACATCCACCTTAAATGGGAGTGCAGGACGAGAGTATCCTTCACTGAGATTTTGAATTGTCCTGGCAATCGCTGTTTTTATAGCGCTATCTAGTATTCAATACGTGTATAACTTTCTTTTCAGTTAGTGAACTCCGTAACTGGTCCAGGTGAAGCGTTGCGAAACGCGTTATGGCACACCGGGGACACAGAAGACCAGGTAAACGCGTTTTGCTCATTGTAGCATTTTACAATGATTGATAGGTATTAATTACTCTACTTAATGTGGTAATAATGACCTATTCCTTCACTGTTTACTGCACGTCAGGAAGCCACGTGATTTTATAATATAACACTTAAAAAGAAATCACCGGCCAACGCCACAAGAAATGCTCTCTATCTACACGTTGCAGTTTTCCTGATATTAATTACCATTTCCTACGTAAGGTGAGGGTCCAATATCCTTGTTTTACTAATCTAGGCCTGAGCATATCAATCGGTAACAGCCTACTTCCCAATTGCTGACATTGCAGTTTACATGAAGAAGGGGATGTAACGGGTTATGTGATGGCCAGGGCGAATGATGTGCTAGTATTATATAATCCAGTCTGTTCCACTACTGTGACCTGGAAAGACGCCATGAAATAGTAACCAGTGTACATCAAAACTACGTCAAGAATAATCTTCGTTTTGGAAACTGCAAATATATTTTCGTACAAAAGTATATACACATGACTTTAATATGTATACATGTATTGCTGTAAAGAGCCATCTCGTAGTTTCTGTTGCAACTACCTATATCGAAGGTCAAGGCATATAAAACTTACTTATACAGGGTCTGCTTTTTATAAAGGTTTAATAAGGCTAAATAAGCTATATTTGGACACACACATAATTATATATACCAGAAAAGCTGACACTGTTTTTTCGAGATTTTGGTTGGGTAGGGATTGGGCCAGTGTTTTGGCCGCTATCGAAGATAGGTTACAGTTTTCCACGGTAAATAACAACGGGTTATAAAATGTAGACGATAGCTGTTTGATTTTTCTTCCAGGCATGATCATTTAAAACTACTAGAGGGCCTATGATAAATCATTCCTGATAGACAAATGACAAATTTTGTGAATTAAACTTGTGCCCTAAAAATAATTATACTTTTCAAACTTTATTTAAAGAGTAAGGGTAAGCGTAGTTGGTTGTTGATTCATTTCATCGTTCATACATCAACACAATTGTTATTTTTATATCTAGGTTAAGCTAATCTGGACTGATCCAAACGAAATTGGATGGAAAGACTTCACTGCTTACAGATTTAGTATAACACATAAACCCGATGATGGATATATCAGGTAAGGGACATATGCCTCTCATTTTACTCAAGTTCATATGCAAAGCATCATCGATGATCAACTTCTTGACTACGTGTTTAATTAATATTGGAATCACAGGATAGAAACATAATAATTGAAACTATTTAAATGCTCAAATTTGCTTCGAAATCGATTTTAATAGATACAATATAAACAAATTGACATTGTTTTTAAAGGAAAATAGTATAATAATTTCTGGCATCATAGTAATGCCTTGATCAATCAATTGATTTAATTATTACTTACGACAAAGTTAACTAATGTAAAACGAAAAAACGAAGAGAGCTGACATCTTACACTGTACATACCGTACCAAATCATTCGGTAGTCGTAATTTCTACAAAACATGTGATTGAAAACCTGTCTCTTATACACATCTAGATGTGTATAAGAGACAGTTATGATATTGTTGATAACATATATAATAAAATATTTCGATGTCATCTTTATTGCAGGGTCAGCATGCACGAGGGCAGCAAACTGTTATCAGATTCCGGTGACCTGTATGATACGACGCTTCGCGGGGGTCGTATTGGTCTTTATTGCTTCTCACAGGCTATGGTCTTTTTCTCAGATCTTGAATATAAGTGTGCATAGGGTAAGCGGTGTTATTAAAGTTTGTATCCAAATTAAACCTCATTATCGTTCTTAAATGTATATTGAAGTATTGACAATAGTGAGGCAAAATGGTTTACTTCACCATTGTTCTCGTCTTTCTCGTTAACATTCTAACCCAAAGTAAAATAATAACAGTAGAGCACAGTGAGTGTATTTTATGTATAAAGTTTATTAAAAACAATTTGCAAATTGTTGTATATCGGCAAATTGCAAATTGTTGTATATCGGCATATGTGTATACAAGACGGTTGAGACATGAATCTCTTGTGTAACCGTTGGTATTCATATTAAACTTTAGTCTATATTTATCTTTTAGTGTGCTGAAAAATATTAAGCTTCGTTGTGAGGCTTGGCGTGGAGAAACCCCTTGACGTCACCCGAATTGAGAATACACTTCCGATGCAACCAGGTGGGCAGGTACATGTGTTGATATTTCTACAAAGTCTCAATTTCTTCGTGCAGTTGGTCACCGAATTATGGAGTGTTTGAAAGGCCTGACACAAGCCTAAAATTTGGAACCCTATAAATTGTCAAAAAATCCACATCCCCGTAAAAAGCAGCTGGCTGGTTGACGTTGAAGCCCGAATCAGAATTGGAAGCGCCATTGTATTTATAAAGTTTTATTGTAAAGAAGATATTGTATAGCGTTTAATGTATTTTTTTCTATTGATTGTATATTAACTAGCATCTTTTCATCTTGTGAATTCAAACTATATTACGTCATGATCCTGTTTCAATATAGTCTGTGTAGGCAAATGGCCAGTGTGACGTCAGTAAAGATGTGCACATAAACTCATAAAGTTGCACAACTTTACAAAATGCTATATTTGTACAGACACACAGTAACGTAGATGTATTGTATAGAATATACTATACTATACTCTACTTGAGAAACTCGATAATCACGAATTTATTAAGTAATATAAACTTGAAGATACATTTTTGAGATATAATTATGATACAAGGTAAAGAAAGTTTACTGAGTAAGACTAAGAGATTCACATTGTGTAACTTTACTTTATTTACGTAGTTTTTAAAATTACTATTGCAATGCGCTTATTAGTTCCAAGAAGTAAACTATTCCTTATTAATAATAACAATAATAGCAATGCGTTGTCATAGTATAACGTATTGTGCTGTATGTGATCTGCATGGTCTATAGTGTTTTATAGGATGATTATTGTGTCTTTTCATCCTGTTTGGTAATCTCTTATTATTTTTTTAATTTATCGATGTATGCTTCTATGTTGCCATATTTAAGTGAAGCAAATGTTCAGATTTTATTTTGAAAATGTACATTTTATAGATATTTGCAATTTTTGTTCGTGGTGTTTTATACTACTGCCGAACAGGTTGGTAGGAGGTCCACTTATGCTTGTGTACCATTGACAGAGCAGCGCATACAATAGGTTTATACAATAATATGAATTAATGATTTAGGCCTTAATACTTTGGTTGGGCGGTAAAAAAGTGTAAGAATTGGAGCGATAATTATATAACTATTGGTCAGATTTTTTTAAAAAGTGATCTAAATCTACAAATTTTTAAATAAGGAAAACAGCAAAGGCGATTTTTTTATGTTTGAATTCAACAAAATTGAATAGTTCTATAGATAGGATTGTTTTGTATTTATTTAGGAATTATTAATGAGTCAGCAAAATTTAATATTTCTATAGATAGGATTGTTTTGTATTTATTTAGGAATTGTTAAAGTTTATTGCATATTGTGACAAATTAAATTTGAGGTATGTTGAGAGGACTGGTGGG